CACCACTGTTGGAGAGGCCACCTTCTGGAACGGAGATTGGCTTGTTTTTGAGCTTTTTCTCGTGATGGGGCTGCCGGCAATTTGAAGGTATCAGGCAGGATGTCAAGGGGAGAGTTACTCCTGTTGATGGGCGGTCTGGGGCTAGCTGTTTGCGTATCTGATTCTGATGGCGTGATCATCTATCGCCTCCTAACTCTATTTCGTACATGACACGGCCTACTCTTCTGACCACTCGTGCTTCTATCCATGGACCACGGGTCGCTCTGTAGTCACGGGCAATCACAGGACATCCCACTTCGTACGTGGCTTGCTTTACAGACTTTGTCTGTACTGGTGTTGATGCATTACTCGAATGCATTAGGCTGTGAATCGTTTTCAGTTTTCTTCCCATCAGGATTTCTGCTGGAGACTTTTGCTCGTACTTGCCTCGTACTGCATATTGTAATTACCTTCGCTTATTAGGACAATTAGAATGTAAATTTACTTTCCGAGATTCATCGTTTACTAGGGTATGTTTTATAACTCCAGCTGGTCTGAATTTACTTGGTTTAGATTGGTTCGACCAGCTAAAATTAGCTGATGTCCCATTGAATATCATATGCCACCTGGTATCACAACCACATGACCCTGAAGCATATACGAGAAAGCTAGTGACGCAGTTTTAGTCTATTTTCCAACCTGGCTTGGGTCGGTGATCTGCCATGAAAGCAACACTTCGGTTGAAACCTGCGGCTAAGCCTGTAATGCGTACTTTCCTGGGGTCGACTTGCATCTTGACTGTTGTCATACTGGTATGAATTGTAACTAAATAAATCTAACCTATTAACTGCATAGTTCTTATTGCTTTTGATTAAAGAATTTGGTGACTTTTATATATTGTTTTGCAAATATAGTACTTTTTTAAAATCCATCTGCTATTTGTAAATGAGGTTATGGTTGGAATGGGTTCGTAAAATCCTACATGTCTATGGTAGTTTTGTTATCCAGTAGTTGAAGTAGAATTCTCCGAGCGATCAGGTTAAGGCTTCGTGTATATTTGATTAGGTTTCTTTAACCTGTTCATGGTTTTCGATCTAGGAAAGATATGGCTTATATTTAGCTAAATGTCTAAACGTATACATTAAAGAAGTCAATATATACTTTTATTTCATATCCTTTTTGATGAAAATGGTGAAATTTGTAGCATTTCAGTTTTCATTCGATAATTTCATGCTGCATAAATGTCACTCAAATAAACTTTTCCTAATGTCTGTGTAAACTCAGCGTAAGATCGTAGTGCAGGTTTTAGATAGTTTAAAATGTTCATATTTCTGTTATGTTTCTTGCTATCAGATCTTTTAATTTTGATATTATTTCAAAACCTCACCGGTAGATTTAGATGTCTTGTCTAAAACCACCGGTCTAACTTTAACAGTACCCGCTGAAAGTGAAGACACATGGAGGTTTTCAAATTACACAGTTGTTGTTAACTACCTTAGCTATATAAGGTAGGATAATTAACTCCTGCCAATCATTTTAAAAAATCTTATAATTTTTCACAGACAAAATTCAATTTATAAATGTAATTAACGCTTATTTGAGAGTTATTTTAATATATGAGGTTTTTTCAAAGTGTTACGTACTAGTTTCATTGCACTAACTAACAAAGCTATGTAGATTAACAGTACTGTAAATTTAATGAGACCTTATTTTACGGAATAAAATTTAGGTCTATGTTTGAGGTGATATACATACAACACTCAGCAGTAAATTCGTGTCATTAAATTTAATATACTCAAAAATCAAACCATTCAAAGTAATACATACAGTTGAAATCCGTTTCTCTTATTGTTCATTTAGATTATTTATTCTGCATTTTGTTATATTTTTGTTTTGGTTGGTTTAGTTGTATTGTTGATTAGTTGAGATTAAAATATCTGTTGAACAATTTGTTCATATTTAGCCTTAATTAAATGGCCTGACATGCACACTGTTCACGTGGTATGTGACCAATCAGGTTATTTTTGTGTGTTTTATGTAAGATTTATTCTATAAATGTATATCCGGAAAACAAAATTGAGTAAATCTTTAGAGTAATTTTGTGCCAGTAAAATTACATTGATATTCATTCAGACTTATATGACAAGAGGGCGTGGAAGTGTAGTATTGCTACTATAGCCATCCCATCGTGATAACATCCTGAGATTGTATATATTGTCAATGTCCTGATAACCGAATCTGTTGGTAAATCTATACGATGGTAGGTAAATCATACTTGCTTGTTTATGTTCCGTGTTTTATCTTTAAGTGTGTTCTACTAAATATTTCTACTTGAAGTAAATTTTAGTTAATTCGTATAAAGTAAAGTTTTAGGTCTTTTATTTCATCTCACGTTTTAAACCAAATGAGTTTGCTCAAGTTCTGTAGGGGAACATTTCATTTTTTTTCACAATTTAGGTTTATTGTTATTAAACTTCTCTCCCTCCCTTATACAACAACCAATGAATATTAAAGTTATTTTTATTGAATATATGGTGGTAAATATTGTTTTGTATTGTCAACTGAGTCAGAAGTAGTAACTAATATTTTTCACTGATTGTCGGGTTTAATCACCGGTGTTGGGTTGATGGTAGAGACATTGATTATTAGCTCTAAACTAAGTGTCGTTTTAGAAATTGAAGCATTCAACTTTCAGCCAGTAGGTTGCAGATTTTTACCCCGCTTTACTTAATTTGGTTTGGTCAGCAAGGTACTATTGTAATGACTAGGGACTTCGGCAAGGGAAATCAGCTTTATTAAGCAAAATTACACAGTATTCTTGTAAAATATAAAAACAATAAATTAAATACACTATTTGCACATCTTCCTTGAATTGTCCTTTTCACAAACTACATCGTTCTTCCGTTCCTGTTCTTATTTCGATTGCTTTCCGTTTTCCTTTCTCTTTTTTCATTTTCCTCTTCGGTCAGTGTGACTTCTACTTCGAATTCCTGATACACACCACAGTTTCACTGACCCCCCCTAATGTAAACACTATAGCTCAAATCTGAACACATAAACTTATTACGTGAGTTGTATGATTATTATTGTTATAATCGCTCTTTTCTTCTTACGGTTATGACCCAGCTGTTCCTATTGCTTAGTATTCTCGGACACCGATTCACTCGACAAGTCCCCAAATCAGAACACGGTTGAACAGGAAAGAGATTATATTCCAAATAGCAAGTCAGAAGCACAATAGGGAAAACGTCAGTATATTTATAGTTTTTACATAAGAAGATTCCAGAGTGTTCTCCAACTATCGGCTAGTGCTGATTGGATAAGAATTAGCCAATCAGCGTGCACCAAAGCAATCATGCATTGAGCATGCTTTAATCTAGTCTACGTCCCGCTAACACCTCCCCTTTGAGCAGATTCGTAGGATCTGGTGCTAGAGTCCAACTGCAACTGAGTGACTGGCTTGTGCTTTCGATTAGTTCATCGTCTAGGCAATAAAGAATTATCACTTTTTTTCTTGCACAGATACTGACATGTCTGTTCCCGGCGTTTTGATTTTTTTAAAAATAAAAGTATGCATAACTTTTAATTCTCCAACATTCTCCTCCTCCGCGAAACAATGTCGGATCCTTATATCTCCAAGTTACAATTAATAGGACTTTATTTAAACGATGTTTCTTGCATTGAATGTCGGATCCACTAGAAATGACTAGATGATAATGAACGACCTTTGATTTGAGGTCAGAGTTTAATTGTTGTGAAGCATTACTTTCAAATCCGTTAAAAATTTCATCAGTGGATAATGGATCATTACGGAAATCAACATCTAACAAAATTAATTTAGACTTCTGACCATAATTTGACTCAGCCGACATATCTTCCTCATTTTTATAAGAAATTTCATCAAAATTACATGCATTATTCTGAGAACCCATATCTGATACATTGTCATTAGAAATCGGATAAGCTGATTCAGTATAAATTTCTGTCTCACAATGATTTTGAGTAACGTTCGGTATAATTGGGTTCATCGTGTCACTGCAGTTATTTTCTGAATATGAGTCCCCATCGCTTTTTCGACTAAAATCACGTGGACCACAGTTTTGTTCGAGTTGAAGTTTATTTTCAGAGCTAGACAGAACCAGTAGCGTCTCATTTAATTCTGAACTCTGGGCTTCATCTACAGGGTCTGGCTCTTGATCATCTCGTATTGCCACAACTTTATGAGCATTCAGCACAGTATTTTCTTGCTGTGAGCCGGACACGTTACAAATATTACGTTCTGATTCAGGTATAAAGGGATTTGAACCCTCCACTGGATATGCTTCTGAAATGTCTGTTACTGCATCCTAAACAGATTTCTTATTTTCTGGTCGAGTGAAAAGTGTGCTCAATAGTTGTTGTTGCAAGGCTAACAACTTCTGCTGGTGCTGTAATATTAACCGCAACTGTTCTAAAGAAACCGCCATTTTTCTTTAGTTTTTCCCCGTCGCCACTGTTATAATCGCTCTTTTTCTTACGGTTATGACCCAGCTGTTCCTATTGCTTAGTATTCTCGGACACCGATTCACTCGACAAGTCCCCAAATCAGAACACGGTTGAACAGGAAAGAGATTATATTCCAAATAGCAAGTCAGAAGCACAATAGGGAAAACGTCAGTATATTTATAGTTTTTACATAAGAAGATTCCAGAGTGTTCTCCAACTATCGGCTAGTGCTGATTGGATAAGAATTAGCCAATCAGCGTGCACCAAAGCAATCATGCATTGAGCATGCTTTAATCTAGTCTACGTCCCGCTAACAATTATTAAAATAAAAATAATTATCTAAAGCTTTGCTGCTCCAATTCCTATCAATTCTTAGTGAAAACAAACTATGAATATTATATTTATTATTTTTCCTGTTATTTTTTAATTGTGTTCATTATTGTAATCATCATCATTATTATTTCTTCCTTCACTTTAATATTTTAATATTTATGTCTCAATTCTTATTATGATAGTGTCCGCCTTTTCTGTTAAAGGAGAGAAACGTGTTCAGTTTTAAACGATTATGGACGTTCACAGGTCCTGGATTCTTAATGAGTATTGCCTATCTGGATCCTGGAAATATAGAATCAGATTTGCAAAGTGGTGCAATCGCTAATTATAGAGTAGGTTATTACCATGTTTATAAAATTTGTTCTGATTGATCCTATTACTGAACTGGGCTATTTAAAAAGAATTAAATATGATTTGTCATTATGAAATCAATTCCTATTGTTTCTATTCCAGTTACTGTTATCGGAAACTAGACCTTTTATTAACACTTGTCAGTGTTTGTCTCTGTTTAGTCGCGATTGTTTACTTACTGCTTCTTTAATATGTTCAAGAATATTTTATGTTTCACGAAAGTCATGTATTATAAAATCTAATCTTTCTTATTGCTTTATATGATTTTTTGTTATTTTAGTCGAGACTGCAGGTAGCTCATCGTTTTTCTGCAGTCTCTGCTTTAATTATTATATATGTTAGATGGTTAGCGAACTACCTTTTTATTTCTAAGGATGATGTTTGTGGTTAAAAGAAAATCTGAATATTGACAGGATTCAAATATATAAATTTCAAATTACCAGTCTAAACGTCTGAATTTGTTAATTCAAGTTTTACCGTAACATAGCTTATTTGTTAACAATATTTATTGTGAGAAATTTGGCGGGTTCATTTAAGTACCGTGTTTTTCTTTTCTAACTGACATTCAGCTTCTATGGCTTTTACTCCTAGCTACATTGATGGGATTATTTCTACAACGTCTGGCTGCTCGTTTGGGTGTAGTGTCAGGTAGACATTTAGCAGAAGTATGCTATGATGAATATCCTACACCGGCACGTATTATACTATGGATTATGGTTGAGGTTGCAATTATTGGGTCAGATATGCAAGTAAGTTTTGTTTATTTTGTTACGAATTTTATTAGAATTCTCTGCAGTATAACATGTCATTATCATTTTTCCACTTATTGTGCAACAGTCCACTACCTACAGTGGTTAGTTATTTGTTTGAACGAGTACCTAAACTCAAAAGTGTTTGATTGTAGATCTCTATAAAAATTTGTTCATATTGACACTCAAAAATACATAAGTTTAGGTTTTTATACTGCTCAGTGAGACAAAAGAGTGATTGTTTAGCGGGTTAGGTATTTGAGTTTCAACTGCATGCTAATACCTAAACCCTGTTATAAAGAATATGTTTTCGAGTTTGTGACTGTCAAATGTGGTACAAAACTCTCATGTATTTATAGTTTTTTTTGTAAAAGCGATGTCATCATTATAGTCATCCAATCTGCATAAAAGGGTTTTTAGCGTTTTACCAATAGGGAAGCTACACGTAGATATTCTGAAATGTTCTTCCAAAAATTGATTAGATGGAATGTCTTCAGCTCTTTCTGAGCTTCTTAGAGCTTCCTCAAGTTCACCCGTGGACCGTCCATACAGTAATGAAAAACACATTTGGGCAGAATGCTAAACTACTGATGATGGGGGGGGTAGTATTCAATATAGTTGGTTGAATGAAAGCTGTTCACAAGACTTAATTGTTGATGTGAGCTTTCACAAGATATAGGAATGTAGTTCTCTTGGCTATATCCATAAACGATAGACTCTATTGATATTCTGAATAAAATGATTCAAAATCAATCACAAAAGTCCTAGTTTACTCTTTCTACGTCTGAACATTCAGTTTTTTTTAAAAGAATAACGGTAAAAATTAGACTATACAATTTCTTAGCTTAATTTACAATATATATATCGTGTTAATGTATTTGTTGAACCCTATGAATTAAATGGTACGATTGTTTTCGAATTTTCAACATAAAGTTGATATAAAAATTAATATGTTTAAATGTTTTAATCTCAATCGTTGTTGTTAGCAAAGCAGTTTCTTGTGACCATTTTCTTCCTTTTTTGTTTTGTTTTGTTTGATTCTAGGAGGTGATTGGTACTGCTATAGCTATAAATTTATTAAGTTTTGGTTATATACCTTTATGGGCTGGTGTACTTATCACTATTTTGGATACTTTCACTTTTTTATTTCTTGATAAATATGGTTTACGTAAATTAGAGTTCTTTTTTGGACTTTTAATAACTATTATGGCTGTGACATTTGGTTATGAGGTTAGTTAATATTATATCTAAATATTTTTAATTGTCATTTGTTCTTATGATATTTCAAAAAAAATTCTCAAAAATATTTTTCAAGTAAAATTCCGAAAAAAAATTGTTTTTCGAATACAGGAAAAAAGAAACTCGATTTATACCCCAAAAATAAATTTTTGTAGCGAAATTTCTTATAATAATAATAATAAAGTTAGTGGGCATGTCAGATTAAAACTCCTTTAAAACAAACCCACCGAAAGATCAATAGCGTAATACAATTTCTACTTTGTCCTATTTAGTTGAAAGAAATAAATGTAAACAAATTGGAAAACAAAAAAGAACAATACAGTATAGTTAACAGAAACATATAAACAGTCAATGTAAATAAAAACAAAACACTTTGATGAATATATCTTAATAAAAATAGGATATTTTCATTTTATACAACCATTTACTTTTAAGTGTATAATAATAAAGGGTTTAAACTATTTCATAATCAAAATTTTCACTTGTTAATTTGATATAATAGTCAACGTTTTTGTATAATTATTATTTCCTAATTTAAAATTATACACTAAGTCCATTTGAAACAAATTTGAAACCTTGGGAATTCATTTATTGTACTGATTTACTAGGAATTTAAACAATTCCTTTTATTCATTTATGTATTTATTATCATTAATAATTTCACTTTCATCTTTTTGAGATTTCATCTTTAACATATATTATTATGTTAAATAAGTTGTTTCTTCTTGTTTCTAACTAAACTTTATTGATATATGGTAGCGTTACTAGTGTAAATTTAGACCATTTGGAATTGAAATATAATGAATTCATGTTATTATACATATCTTGTTCTTCTCGCTTTATTTAAATTAATCAAGGGATCACGATGTATGAAATCTCGAAAAAAAAAAGAAAAATACTATTCTCTACTAAGGTTTTTCTGTTTGAACTTTCGTCAATGTTTAGACGAACACTCATCTATACATAAAAGACAATAGATATGAAGATAAGATTTATTTTTGTTCTGAAGAAATGGTTTACATGATTTCACGAAATATTAAAAATTCTAATTTCTATTCGTTGGGATGTTACAAATAAATCATTATTTTGTTACAAAGAAAAGATTTCTAAAATTCTTACGAAAATTAATTAACTTCAATGGAAATAAAATCTTTCACAAAGGTTTCAGGTCTTATAATGAAAATCCGATAACCTATATCGTACATTTATAGACGAATCGAAACAATCTGATTAGAAAGGATAGGATTCAGTTATCTGTGGTGAGAGTTACTGATGTATAGGTGAACAGAGGAAAACATTATCTCTTACTATTCTATTCATTTGTGTATTCAGTATTATGATGTTCTTTACTGTCAGTTATACTTCTACTACTTTGGTATTCATCTTGATAATTGCTGATGCGTTGTGGAAACTTTGCCTGATACATGTATGTACCAAACTACGTTAATTGTGATTAATTGATCTAAGAGGTTTTCTTACCCGTAATGGCTGCTTTTGTCTTAATTATTTACTCACAGAATCATGTCATTATAATAACTACATAATTTCCATATTTAATTTTTTTCCATTCAGTATATTGTTGTAAAACCCGATCAAGTATCTCTTTTACGCGGATTATTTGTGCCTTCTTGTCCTGGTTGTGGTTGGCCTGAATTGGAACAAGCTGTTGGTATCCTCGGTGCTGTTGTAATGCCTCATAATTTTTACTTACATTCTGCTCTTGTTAAATCACGTGATATAGATCGAAATAATCCATCTTTGGTATGTTCTTAATTTTCTCTATGGTTTATGTTTCATTAAACATATATTGTTAATACTGTGTGGTTTGTCGAATGATTATCTTTACTTAATCTATATGTGTACTTTTCAACAAGACATTTTCAAATTAATATCTATGATAACCGATAGTATTTTTATATCAGTTACTTTTAAGAACAGCAATCTTATCGGAATAATCTGAATTCAATTATTTCATGGATTTTATTCAGCTGCTTATAATCTACAAATAACAGTATTAATTCTTTTTAAAAAAAATTTACTATATATCTTTTTAACAGGAAACTCGTCATTAATGAAGGAGAATAAATTTATGCAATAAATGTATCAAAATTATAAGAACTGTTTATACAGTTGATTATTTATATGTTAACTGGTGTAAATAGTCTGGAAGAAAATTTTGAAACTCATGAAGTCAGGGTTTTAGAAATGATAAGTTAGTAACAAAGTTATGTACTAATGACTTGAAAAGTTAAGTTGACTAGGAGAGTATAACTCAGATAGAATGTAGTAACGATAAAAAAGGATTGATAATTGAAGGGGTGAAGTGAGATGTTATGCAATTAAGTGCTGCTGTCACCAATGGTTGGAGACTCTTGGTGACATGGCTCAGAATCGATCACAATGGCGTTGGTGTATACACTCTCTGTCTTCCCTTAAACTAAGAGATTAAATCGCTTCATATCTTTCTTTCTATGAACTAATTCTTCCTGTACTATATCCTTATTGCAATCTTTCTTTTATATATTACCACCTCTGAATTCACTAATTTTATGAATTCGGTGTCCATCTTGTTGTGTTAATGAGGTATGGCAACTTGGACCGATGCATATATGTGCGTGGTCCTACGTTGTAGCTGACTGACTGACTGCTGTAAACTAAAGTCAGTAGGGCAATTTAAGACTGATATTAGTGTTCTTTTAAATGGAGAAATCCAGTTTAGGTATTTTGATAGTAATGACTTCGTCACGTGCACATTGATTGTTTTGAAGGATTTATGGATGTAGAAATCGTGTCCAATATCAATAAGATGGTGAGCATTGACATCTGATTCTGTTTTTGGTTTGTCCGCTGGTGATTTACAATAGAGATGCTTGGGTTTTCGGTAGCATTGTATTCCCATTTCTCAGTAGTTTCGGTTATGAATTTGTTCTCTTGAGCAACAATAGAAAACAAACTTGCTCACTAATTACCTACGCTCAACATTGATATCCAAGATTTCTCTAAAATATCTGGGAGTTAGTAAGATGGAGTAGAAGATAGAGCCAAGTTGCGTATGCTTGAGAAGTAGGATAATTCATGCCGGTTCGGGTCAACTTAGATACAGTCATGATTTCAGTTCGATTGTAAAAGTTCGGGTGCATAACATGGTGACAGTAGTACTGCTCTGTGCCTGTAAAACCTGGTCTCCGAATTGAGAATGTTCGGCTCCTCTCTGTTTCTGATTAACATTGTCTTAGGCAGATTGCTTGAATTTGAGGCGTAACTGAACAATTGGTGTTAAATCTGACATTTCTTCGAGCACAGTAGAAACTATCAATTATTTGGTGCAGTCTTCAAACACGGACTTCATTAATTTCGTCCTGTTTCACATGAAATGTAGTGAATCTCCTGTACCAAGTTTTGTATGTTAAGACTCAGTAGGAAAGCGGATAAGTGATCAGTCAGTTGTGTAATACTTCTAAATGAAGGATATAAATAAATCTACTTGCTAGATTAGATTCTATGGTTCCTGTAATTTAGTTGTTTGAAGTGTTACCAATACATCATTCAATACAGAAGATTGTTTCCTCGACAAATAATAAAGTGTAATTTTGAGTCGAATGAAATTCGTCTAAGTAACATTTCTATTTGATCTGTATAATTTATTATTTTTTAAAATTCGTATTTCATTATTATGCAACCTTCCAGCAATTTGTTTCATATCACATTCAAAGTAATTTTTTGGATAGTGTACTTAATGGCCTATTTATTTATATTATTGTCAATAAATGATAATACCATAGGTTGTATGAATAAATGTTAAACATTAATATTTTAGCAAATGTGAATTAGTAAGTAGACTTTGATTTTAACGGTATCAAATATTAGAGTTTAGAGTTCGAAAAATACTATTTCACCAATAGGGTCAATATTATGTGCTGTTTTAGAATACTGCTATAGTTGTGTTTATGGGTGGATGAACGGCGCGAGTGAGTGAGACGATAATCTCAGACTTGCAAAAATAGTATTAGGTGGTTAAGAACTAAGCGTGTAAATATTCAGTACTTTGTTTTTAAATCAGGTAATAGCATAGGAAATTGTAAGTTATCAATTATTATAAGGTACGAATTGCTAAGTTCACCTGAATTAACATATAGGTGTCTTTTAATTATAACTTGTTTATAGTGCAAATAATTACTTTAAGTTAATACACCAAAATGGTCATAGTCATTAGATTTTTCCTTCCGATTTCGATGTTCCAACATACGAGGATGAACAGATTCTATATTTTAAGCTTGTATTGGAGTACTTTGTATTGAAACATTTAAAGTTCAGTTAATGTAAATTAATATTAGTGTATATGAAGAGATAGAGGTAAATCAATGTTTGTCATCTTAATTATTCTCACCGATGCAGTTGTACATTTAGTCAGTATGTACTAACTTTTTTTCTGGTCATTTAAAGTATGAGGCTAACACTTAGGTTGATAGTTCCAGGAGCATTCTATTTTTCATTTGAGCGTGATAAGGTTAAAAAGTTTACTTCACTTGAATTGTAAATTTTAGAAATCATCACAATTTCATTGGTTTCAATACAACATTTAGCCATAGAGGTACTAATTAAAACAAATATACCTAAAGCAAAGATAACAACAACAGTAAATCAGTCATAAGATGGGGATATATTTTATGATTTTCGTGATCATAATGCTAATGAGTATCAAAATAAGACACCATCCATTTAGTATGTATCTGTCATAGGAGTAGATGTTCGTTTGTGTGACCCTTTTTCACGTATACCTTTTTTTCTTGTGTGTCGAGTTTATATTTATACGCTTTGTTCATTATTTTTCTAGTTATACATAGAAAGTTAATTTCTCGTTTCTAGTGTCATGTTTTTGTTTAAAAATGTGTTTTTATTCTCTTGTGGGGGAGGTTGTTTATAGGTTCGTGAAGCGAATATGTATTACTTCATTGAATCAACCATTGCATTATTCGTTTCTCTTATGATAAATATATTTGTTGTATCAGTATTTGGTGCTGGGTTCTATGGTAAAAATGTTAAACAAGTGGTAGGTTATATTTTGTTTGAATATTTTCCTTGTATATATATATTATATATATATATATATATATCACTGATTTAACATCTTGTTTTTGGCATAGTCATCAATGTATTGATGATTTCACCAACTTTGAAGAGCCACCAACGTTCCCGACCAACAACAACTTGAGGCCAGTTTCATACGGCCTTTTCAGGAGTAGTACTTATCATACTAACTTCATTATTTTCAAACCTAATCGGTGCCCTAAAAATCTGTGGGACAAATTGAGTTATACTATTCTTTAGGCCCGACCTTTTATAAACCACTTTGTCTGTAAAAAGTTTGTGTTACTGAAACGACTGCTTATTCGTTAAAAACCCCATAATGTTGCCGTATCCTTATACAGTTTACAAAACGATTTCACCATGTAACATGAAACTTGATAATTGTGGTCTTACATCCATCTAGCTGATTTACACGGCATGGTAGGACCTCAGTAGACAAATATTAAAATCAATGTAGTTTAGTTGGGCCGTTTTCAATGAACAGGTTTGACCATCATGTTGAATTAACGTCTACAGTTGGGTCTGACTTTCATTGGAAAGTTATGTATAACATTTCGATCATGGCAAATATAGCAATACTCATCCTTTTATTCATCATAATATTTATGAATTATGATAATTTTATTTAGTGAGATTTAAGTGTGCTTGGTATTATGTTGTTTAACAAGTTAATATCATTCGGACGTGTAAAGTAACGTAACCATTGTCTACTATATCTAAATATTCAATAAATATGTACAACCTTATTCAGTAATAATAAGTCAAACTAAAGATTTTTTCCCTAAAAGTCGCCTAATAACAATTAGATTGTTTCAACTTATCACTTTACCATTGATTAAGTTAATGAACCCCATTTATCTTTGACAAAGTTACTCTGCCTATTCTTAATTTCTGGTTATTTTTCTGGTATGCTTTATTAGATTGAGAATTGCACACTTGAAGGTAAAATTCCTGTTCGTTTTACAAATGCTGTAAGTTTTTTGTTTATCAATTACATTATTGTTATATTCTCAAGTTTATAGCTTTTAATGCAATGTTGTTGAGATGAATTTAGTCTAAATAACGGATATTAAAATATCTAATGGTTTAGAGATATCCGCTTCTTTTGATGACTTTTGTAAAATCCTGAAGAATAATATACTGAAATGTTTGAAAAGGAATTATTTTAACTGAAAGTCTCAAGTTGATTGCCTGAAAGTTAAATATCAGTTGGAGATATTTAATACGAGTGCGTACTGAGTCTTTCTAAAAGAGAGCAAGAACGAAGATTGGCGCAGAATAATTTGAATTCATTTAATTTCATTTGGTTCTCATCAGCTGCTTACAGCATATCTCAATGAAGTGAGGGAAGGATGGCATAGTTAAATGTTCAGTTTATGAGAAAGACACATGGAATGGTGTTTATCTCAATTTCATTAGCTTTTGTCCAATCACTTACAGAAAGGCACTTGTCAAAACACTGTTTCACAGAACAGAAATAATATGTACTGCCGATACACTAGAAGAGGAAGTTAAGAATGTTAAAAGATGTTTAAAGAACAACGGATACCTACTGAAATTTATTGAGAAATATGGAAAACGTGAAGATTAAAAACTCAAAGAAACTACAGCAAATAAAAGCCTGTTTTTATTCAACTTAAATTCAAAGTTGATGTGATAGGATCAATCAATATGGGACTAGAAACTGCGTTGAAAAGAACTTATCCTGCAGCTTAACTGATTGTCCTGTCCAAAACAACATGTTCTTTGACACAATCAACGGTCGACGGTATCCCTTTCATGTTACCACCAACTGTGTATACAAATTTACATGTACCTGCCAAAGCAGTTACATTGGTAGAACAGATAGGAGGGCCTACGTCCGATTCAAAGAACATATTCCGAAGAGTTTGAGATCAAACGGACTAAAAGCATTTAGCAGCGCTATCACAAGACATCTCCTTGACACAGGACACGAAGTCGATACACTGAAGTCCTTCAATCAAACCCCAACTTTTTGGAATTTGCCGAAGCGATAACAATCAAACTTCTAGAAGCAAATCTATGTATCCAAAAAGAGGCAGTAATAAATCTTTCTTTGCCCTGGTAATATTAAACCCTCCTTTTTTATTTGTCACGTCATTCATTATTTCAACTCTCTAAAGTTTAAATTACATCATTATCATTTTTCTTCAATTCATAACTGACTGATAGCAATTCATATCTTTCTTTATTACCACTAATCTATTTTCATTTGCTTCATTACTCAATCATCTAATGTTTGTTAACTCCATGAGTTCTAATCACTATTTCAATGTTCTGGAACTTTCCCTCTCAAACTTTATTTATCCGAAACAAAAATTTTTATAACCTTATTAACTATTGAAATCTTCACTACATCATGATACATATATTCATCTTTAGTTACCCTCTTATGTATAAGTATGTCGATATCTGTAATAACGTTGATTTTAAAATATTTTAGGTTGTAAGTAGCTGATGAAAACCCAACGAAATAAAATGGATTCATATTATTCTGCACCAATCTTCGTTCTTTCTCTCTTTAAGATATTAAGGGGAACTATGTGTATGAAATTAGTCTTTCTAGTTAGTCAACATTATTTTTCGCCAGTTGTTGGCAATCGTCTAACTATTTTGTTACTGATTTATACAAATATTCGTCAATATTAGGACGAATAGTTTGACAAAATTTGGGCGCCGATTGTGGAAAAGTCATTGTATGTGAAGATTATGTTTGGAATAATCTCAGCGATTGAAATCTAAACAATTACAACGTTTCGTCCAGCAAGCCTGTCTGGACTTCTTCAGGGTACTAATCGAAATCAAGATCAAAGAAATTTAAATTTAAATTGCTGTGTTTATTTCAAATATGATTTTTCACATATAATATTTTTTTACGGATTTTTTCAATCATATATTGCTTCTATAGTCTATATCTAATGCTTTTGTTTAAACCCTCTGTAATGGCCTTGCATTTCATAATCAGTTTATGTGTAAATGCATCATAACTTGTTAACGGCGTTGTATACTACTTTTTAAATCTAACACCCGTTGATATTTGTCTATATTTGGTCATTGTGTAGATTGTTATAAATAAATTAATATATTTATAACATCATTTATAATAATTACTATTTATTCTCTGAAAAAGTGGCTTACATTGAGTCACGAAACATCAGAAAATTTAATTTTTCTACTCATTGGGATATTAGGAATATAATAATTTATTTATTGTGTAAACATGTTATTTTCACGGTCTAAGATTGTACTTTAGCATGCAATACTATCACGGACTTATTTATCCATAGTTAGTATTTCGCATCTCGTTTGATTTACGACAAAGTTATCTTACGGTTAGTCACTTGTCATATTAAGCTCTTTAATTCTGTTACGTTGTCCTTCTCTAATGATGGATAGATTAACAGCTCAGCAAGAAATGCCTTTAGAGTATCATACGGCCTGTCAAACTGGTTATGCAAGTATTCATGACTTTGATGTACTCATTTTCTGGTAATAAAACTGTTATAACGTGAGATGCTGCTGATTAGAGGGTAGCGGGCGAACTTATCGATCGGACCAAAGACGCGTAAACACGTAAGAACGGCCTAGAGTTCTGATTGGTCCCACTTCCCTGTTTAGCCCAGCCAGTTGAGTACAGAACTCAAGTCTGAGCCTCTAAGATATGAATCATTGTATTTCAAACATACTCTGTTTATATACCAATCAGGCAGACCACATCGTACCATAAAATAGAAAACAACATTGTATAATATTGACCAGTAGGAAAACGACACGTGAAATAAATATTGACCAATAAGAAAATAACACCATTTCAAGTCCAAGGATAGCGTTAGACCTAACAGAATAATTTTTGAGACATTTTCCTGAATATCCCAACAAAAACAATGCTCTCTTGCTTAATTAGCAGGTTTTTTATAGTAGTATAATAGGTGCATAAGTCATTGAGCGTCGCTACCATCCTCGTCTGCGATATTAACCTTAAATCGTTTCATGAACGTTCAAAATTTGAGAAGTATTCCATAGAATTTAAGAATTTTAATCTCAGGCAGTCCAACTGTTGTAAATAATGATCTGACGAATTCCTGTTTTAAGTTCATTTGCATCGTCCAAATCTTTGTTGGTATATTGGTTTATCATTGCAGCATCAGTAGTTACGCTTTTAGATTGAAATCCAGGCGTCTCACCACTTTCGTCCGGGTCCTTAAAGGTCTTCTGGTGCATGTCTGATTTTTAATAACCTCTTACAGAGTTTGTCATCATGAAAGTGATAGTTTACAAACACAATTGAGTTCACCTTAACGAAGGAAATAAAGGATTTTGATATTCTGTTTCGTTTAATTTGTCTTGTTTGTTTGTGATCTCTATACGCCTCGTTACCGGCATTGTCAAAGTTATTTGCGTATTCAAGTTCTAAGCCAAATTAAATATACAACAATAAAGCTTCGGATTTTTAATTAGAACTCAGTATTGTGAAATATTTTCAGGACGCGTAAATCTAGTCATCAAAACGTAAGGTTTTGTGCTACACTTGACTATAAGTTACACCTTATTTGTAGTGAAATACATAGAATTCTGTGAATATGATAGGAAGTGCAAATCCAAATAAAGGATCAGAAGGAAATATTGTTAATTTCTAGAAGCTTAAGTAATATATTATTACTTATAGGGTGTATTAAAATTTATTAAGTAGAAACAGTATTCGATATTAGCAAACATTTAGTGAACTGCCCTAAAATCTATTAAAAGTTTCGTATTTCCACTTTATTGAGTCGTTCGATATTTTATCAAGTTGATCATTAGCCGTGATTGTAATTAGTAATCGATATGTGTATATTTTGCGTTTTTCCACTTTGACATACATTCAGTTTAAACTAACTATAAAAACAACTTTGTATGCTAATTGTTTCACTGTTTTTTTCTAATCGTTTGGTTTATATTGTTTGGTGTGCTAATGTATAACCCCTCAACGCTGTGTTCGTATGTGTGTTTGTTAAGAAGTCTTCAGATTTCACTCGACTAAGTATTCATATGACGAGAATAGATTTTAATATAATTGTGATCGTAAATAAGCGCTTTTCTTTTTGAGATAATAATAGTAATAATCGCTCTATGTGGCACTGTTTATTTGATCACAATTAAGGATTTTTAGTACAAGCTGTCCAATATTACAGTAAACCCCCGTTGTATGTATACTTAACATGTAAGTAGATATAGTCTTCAGTGGTAACAAGCTATCATTTTTCTTTATTTGCGAACATGTTTAACCAGTTTTACTGACATGAAGTTGCTTTTTGCCGTATAATATATTTGATGGATGAATAGCATTGTGACTGCCTCTCGTTTCTCCAGACGGCAGACAATAAAATGATGTTCTAATCACTGTGTAGTTCCGCATACATTTCGCATTAAGTAACTTCGTGATATATTGTAAGCTGGTATATCCGGTTAACCAGTCACTCGAAGCAACTCTAAAATATTAACATTCATTTTGATATTTGTGCAGTTGATGAGATTAGTGAGCCTTAGGTTTGATCAGGTTGCCAAAAGTTTGTTTGAAATAAAGGCGAAACTTGCGCATTTCTGGTACTAGAATATGTTTTACAGTAAGTTACAGATATTTAGAGTGTACTGGTATGGAGGAGGATCGTATTCATAAGAGGAGCCGTCGCTAGTATGTTTTGACCATCTCTAGTGCAAGACAGTTATCCACATCAGGCAATGGATTGTGGTCACACAATATCTCGAATCGATTGGGCTTATAGTTGTATAAATTATATTCCAGCTCAGTGGTTTAGAGTTTAAGTGTTCACTAGTGAGAATGAAGGTCATGGATTCAATTCTTGACTACTAGGCCGTGGATATCCACTGCTGAGGAATCCCATACTGGGACGAAACGGTTTTCAAATGCTTCCTGATTTTTAATCGTTTAACTAAGATCTATCCGTGATGCAAACTGAGAGAATTTAATAACCTCCATAAAAATTATACTATGCAAACAATAAAGATTAATTTTGTCTAACTTCTATATTGAGCTTTCGTATTTAACATTGTATTAAATCGTCTATCTAACATCCCGAACTCAAATACATATGATATTAAACACTCATACTTTATTGTCGATTTAGTGTAATTTCTTTATAAGTCTGCCTTTTTTGTTATCAATATTCGTGTCATTTGCGTACATCAGTAAACTGAATTCTTGAGCTCTGTATTATGATATGCGTTTAACGATACAACAGGATTTAAAACAAAATTCAATCCCCCCCGTAAGAATGTTAATAGTGACCTGTGGTTTATGAATAGTTGTTTATTGTCCAATCACATCAATCAGTCAAAGGTAAACAATCTTCAACAAAACACAAATGTTTGTCGATCTATGTTGCTTCACTACTCTGAGACAGAAAAATCAAGGGATGAAAAACATAGGAAAAAAGTAATGTCTACCGTAATAGAAAAGTGAGCTCCAAAATTAGTTTTCAGAATAATTTAATGAAATCAAATGCTAAGATAAATTGGGTAATACTTAGCTCAAAATTTAGATGAAGGTAACGAATTTACGCTATTAAATTTGATTTCAAGTTGTATTACTTCAAATCTTTATTTATAATCTACGACCTCGCAATGTACTCAGTTACTCATACTCAATGTAGAACCTAGCACATATGTGTATCGGTTCAAATTGTAACATCGTATTAGAACAGCGAAATGAAACTACCATGAGAAACTCCAGAGTAGTATAATTAGTTATAGTATCAGTGGTAGTATAAAGGATTAAACATAAACGATATAATTTGAGGAGGAATGAGTTTACAGAATGAAAAAGATAATTGTGGAACTTTGTATTGAAGGAAAGATCGTGAGTGAATGCATCTATGCCACTGCGGCGAATTTTGACCGTATCATCCAAAGTCTCTAGCCATTGATAACAATAATTCGGCGAACCCTAACCAGGATGTATGCATCTGTTGACATGGCTGATTTCAACAGTCATTCACTTCACGGACTGGTGCGACGTTTTGGCTTGATCTCTCCCAATCTTTTTCCATCCTACTCTCAGATAGGCAAACATCACACGTTGAGGTAGGCGGTGATTGAGCCCCACGGTGTGCGACTCTTGTTTAACCGATTTTGAATATCTTATTCGATAACATGTAATTGTCTTTCACTAAACTCCTGTCGTTCGTAGTTTTCTAATCAGTTTCATGTCAAGTAATAATTTTTGGCAGAGACGGTATGTGTAGTTATGTATTAATGTTATTAATATTGATGTTGATTGTGTGATTTTGGCATGCGTTCGAGTTACACCATAATCTGCAGTAGTTTACAAATTTACTGTATTTTCAATTTTTTTTTCCAGGCTTCTAGTTTTGATCCAAATAGTGTCGATTTGTACACAGGAGTAAGTCGAGTTACTGTACTAACAATTACTTTACTTATGATTATATTGTTATATACTGTAACAGAAATCAGTGTAAGGGGAGATCTTGTAGAAAAATGTGTAAAACGCATTGTTCTAGGGTTTTTAATAGTTTATACTCAACTTTCAATTATGTGATCGGAGACGGGCATTTAAGAACCAAGTATATTCAATTAACAAGTCACATTTTGTAAGAAACGCGTATTCCTTATTGTACTACTAACCTCTAAATCTAAGTCTAATTATTGAGTTGTTTAGAAATTTTTCACACAGTCATTTTTGGGGAACTAGGTAGGCATGATTGATACTTAGACTATAAGTATAATTTCGTGTATCAGATTGTATTCAATTAGTTGCTGTGGATTATGTTATGAAAAAGTTTTATATTTGATTAAACTTTCTATTCATTAAATATTTGAATTGAGACAACTTATCTTTTTAAACATTTTATATCATCAGTTCCGTAATAGGTGTGTTGAGTAAACAAAATTGATCGCTTTTATTGTGTTCAGAAAGTGACTTTGTAAACTGACTTTGTTATTCTCACTTAAATGCATAAAAATCCCCATCTCACTAATATATGAACGAAGAATATTGTTTTCAATAGGTCCTCTGCAGGTTCTACAATTATGTCTAAATTAGTAATCCAAAAAGGTGACCAGATTTAAGGTGAAGTATGTGGTTTAAAGTTATAGCATGTGAATGTCGGATAGTAGAATAACATAAAGTTGTTAATGTTGAGGTGACCAATATTGAATTTTAAATGAAATTATATTCGACTAAGAAATGTTGTATGTACGTTAGTGAGATTAGGCCATGCTGTAGTTAAGATTACTAGTGATTGATTGGATTTGACGTTGTCCATGGTTGGGGAAGCGGTTGAACATATATCTTTTGTACACATAGTTTTGGATTTTGAATCGGAATGGTTATTTGTATTTGGGTTTGAAGGACTTTTAGTCAGACTGAGTTTTGCAAACGTGGTGACATTAGCGTTGTATTATTGCGGTTGAAAAATGAAAACATGTTTTGAGTTAGGTGAACAGATCTCGATGGTTCATATTTTTATGAATAAGTGTTTCTGTTTACGCAGGTCAGTAAGAATAAGTTGCAATCTAGTTCACTCACCCCGATCTAAGCAATCCAATAATTCTTCTTACCACGTTAATTTATTTGTTGAATAAAGAAGATAGAATACATCTATTACAACACGTTGATTCAATCTATTTAGCTGTTTAAAAAAATCAGTTGAGCTTCAACTATAGATTTACAGGTTATTCTTACTAAAATTATATTTACTTTTATAGATGAATATTACTACCGATTTACATAGCAAGTAGAGAATAGTAGTCTGGTTACTTCACATTAGTTCAGCAGTCAATTTCATGGTTACATTGATAGTATATTATGAGTTACTACTATTAATACTGCGGTTATGTATTTCACTGTTTGATTAGTAGATTCATGAAATTGTTGAGATTTGTAAACATTCTGATTGCATAATAAAATACACATTAGTTTCATATTTCAACATGTCATTACAGGAATAATATTGATTTCCTATTTTTATAGTCATATATGTGTATACTTATTTTTTGATTGGTTACTTTGATAAAAAAATTAAACCCAATGGCTGGAATAAGTAGTTCTATAATCATTCAAATTGGTGTTCATGAGGTTAAAACAACTTGATCCCAATTAATGAAAGCACTGATTGACAGTGTAATTGGTTGTTTTATTGGTAGTCAGTATTTACTACTAATATTGATTGTATTTATTATTTAGTCAACTTAGTTTTCAGCGCAAAACTTTCTAGCTAACGTAGATTAACTTGCATGGGTATATGCAATATTACTACATTATGAATTAAAATTTATAATTGGGGAAATCCATTTTACAAATTTTCTACTCCTTTAAATTACGATTTTGAATAGTTAGTATCCAGCAGGAATTTTCCATGAAATAATAACTGTTTATAATAACGATAAGTGATTTAGATAAACGGTAAAGTACAGACTGTTTGGTATATAAGATGTTAAATAATTGATGCTTTAAACATTTTCTTCGCTTACTTAACTAATTTATCTGTTTTCTCCCGTTATAATTATAAATATTTAGTTTACTTACTATTCTCTACCTTTATCATAATGAATATTCTTTTATGATTTATTTTTAAACAAATCTTATCATCAAGGGAATATTTCTAGGTTGTGAGTTTGGTCTCGCCTGTCTTTTTATTTGGGCTATCGGTTTATTGGCTGCTGGGCAGTCGTCTACAATGACTGGGACATATTCTGGACAGTTTGCTATGGAAGGTTTTTTAAACTTAAAATGGAAACGCTGGCAACGAGTGTTAATAACGCGTTCTATAGCTATTTTGCCCACGATTTTAACGACTGTTTTTCGAGGTAATTTATATATATATATATATATATATATATATATATATATATATATTCGTGAAGTACTTTTTTATGCATGCATTCAGAATCGCCCGTAATTTTAAATTTTAATATAGACTATGTAAAATGTTCAATACAAGGCCTTTATTCACACCAGTTTCCTTTCAACTAGCTTTCATAGATTAGACTTTGTTAAAAATTACAAGTAAGCTTATCGAAGTGTATTGTTGATAAGTAGAAGCCAAAAACAACTTTACATATTCTTTTTCATAATATCTCTATTTAGTGCCATTTATGTTGATTTGTACTTTTGTTTGGTTAAGTCGTATTTTAATCTTGGTAGTTTTAATATTTAGTTGAAAAAGTAGATACAATCTATTTCCTATTATTATATTATTTAACTAAATAACTATAGTTAAAATTCTAGATTTGCTCTGTATCCCGAATCATGTAATACTTCACGGTTTTATGGTTTACCTGAAATTTATAAACCAGATATCCCTCTAAGACCTATAGTAGACTTCAACAACACACAAACATATACATTATTGAAATATCTAAGCAACATATTAAGGCTACTGCAGCTTAACTTACATAATATGATTAAAGATTCATATGACTTGAAATCAGAATTATCGGAATTAATTATCAAAAAGAATGAAGTTATGGTAAGCTTTGATGTTGTTTCTTTATACACTAGTATTCCTATTGATAAATACTTTGAATTCACTAGTGGTTTACTAGAGAACAACAATACTCTTTCTGACATGTCCTTTAATCATCAGTCTAATCATGAAACTCTGGTTCTATTCTACTCTATTCACCCTTAATGGGACGTTATACAAACAAACTAACGGTGTAGCAATGGGATCCTTCGGGTCCCTGATTGTAGACAACCTGTTTATGGCACACATAGAATCAAATATTTTCGCCAACGAGGTTAAACCACTAATTTGGCTTAAATATGTAGATGATACATTTGTTGTTATAAAAAAACTAATCTAAGATGTTTTTCGAAACGGATCAATACACTTTCATCAAATACTTTAGTTCGCTTAAAGAAAAAAAAACTCATTCATGTCAACACAGAACTGCGTCTAAAAATTAGGTTGTGTCGATTGTGATGCCTTCTATATTGAAGAGCCATCTCGCGAAATCTTGAACATATTAGATACACAAAGAAACCTAATAATCCCGTAGAACTGGATAGACCTCAAATTAAATCGTCAATAGCAGTTCACGCCATTTTCAACCACCACTAAATCGATTTCAAAAACATCAAAATATTACAAAAAGGTTTTTCCAATTACAAAGAAAGGAAAGTAGCTGAAGCGTCCCATATACTGCTTAATCCTACTGCTCTCAATAGAAAAGAAGGCCTTACCATACATCCTACTTGGACTATCTATCCTAGCCACCTAGTCTGATATTATTTACAATTCCCACTATTATCTTATTAGTCTCTTGTACGACTAAAATATTTAAATCTGAGTAATCACTGAGTAGAGGAGAATGTCATATTTGTGTAATTCCTCAGTTCTTGAGGGATCATTCGTTCTCTCAAGGTTATAGATATATCTTGCTGACAGGTGCCAAAGCACACGAAACCTAGGTCCAAGGTTTTGCTGTTGACTATCTCCAGCTACCTGATGTTAAAGTATAATGTACACAGTGTCAAGCTGCTAAAACGTAAAGCCACATTACAATTTAGTGTATTGTTAACGGTTGTTATTACTCACTGATTAACCAGTATGGAATAAGTCACTCTTCTTTCACTGATTTTACATAGAAATTTAACTGATGATATAATAGGAATCGAACATCTGTTGTGCACATTAGTAGCAGTTTTTTTCAATTCTGGAGCTGGTGAAGGTAGGAGATCATAAATTCTGACAAATTATATCAATAGTTTCAAAAAGTAATATATTGGTGAAAAAGGATGTTACATCAAAAGAAACCATGAACTTATCGGCACCATTCGTATGATTTAGTCTATCGGCAACTGGATGATAAAATAATTTATCTTTTATGGTGATTGTTTGATTCATCTATCTATGAGTAGTTTGTTACTTATACCATACATATATGTATATATTATCTATGGAACAGGCATTGAAGATTTAACTGGAATGAATGATTTCTTAAATGTACTAATGAGTGTTCAACTGCCATTTGCTGTTATTCCATTGTTAACATTCACTAGTAGCAAATCAGTTATGGCTGAATTTAAAAATTCTCTGTAAGTTACTTTACTTTTTTTTTAACAAAAAGAATTCGAATCTTTGTTATCTTATATGTATTTTTCCATAGTGTATGTGTTGACAATGTTATCCAGAGGGACAATAAAAGCTTCACAGTTAAGCCAATTAGCTCTGAGAACTTAATAACTCTAGCACGTTGTTCTTTGTTTAAGATGTATGACGCTTACATACAATGAGTTATAGTTAAATAAATGTCGTCTGAAAGTAACGAAAATTCAGTGAAGAAAATTTTCGATCAAATCATATACTCAAGCTCGACCTTTGTATTTATAGTCGTTTAATAAATATACAATTATATGGGAAAATAGATGAGGTTACATCATGAAGTGATACGAGATTTTAAATATCAAAAGGAGGTCGCGTAATGATGGAAGGGTTAGAGAAGAATAAGAGGATGAAAATAATCTTCCGATCAGAAATATGATAGAATATTGTCCATTTGACAGGTATGAAGAATATTGAGAGACGTTAAAGTTATAATAACAATTGAATAATCATGAAAGATCGGTAAAGGATTATAATAACTGTAAAAAAATTATGAGACGAAACAAGACCAAAACATACAGGAGAAGAGAATTAAGGCCATGGAAGGATGAGAGGTTGGATTTATCGTTTTTGTACGCGGCGTTTGGAATTGAATTCGTGGATCACTAACGCCTCAACGCTGCATACGATTTTGATTCGACCGCTCTTCGATCCGGTTCCTTTGATTGTATAGATTATTTTGATGGAAAACTTTTTAGGAGCAACGTGTTCATAAATGATTCAGTACTCCTGTATCAAACTGGTGTCTGTTATGCATTCTCCTTTTAAAACCATGTATTGTATAATACTCAATCTTACCATCTGGATGTTTAAACTGAACAACTGCTTGTAACTGGACCCATATCTTAAGCTAAGCGGTTGAAACTATACGATTAAACATTTATACCACCATTTCGAGTTGGTAAATGGTCATGAATATTTTATTGTAAACCTAAACTAACCAGATGGTAGAAATTTATATTTTCTTATGAAACCAAACGAAAGGTGACGGTTAAGTTACTACTATTGATTCTGTCCTAGATAATTCAAACCTATAGGCAAATAACTACTATAATATATTATGTTTGTTATGGAGGTTTGGTTATCCCCGTTTTCTGACTGAGTAGATCAGCCTTTGACGTTCGCTGATGTGAGCCCTGTGTTAGAATGTTTTTGATAACCTCACTATTGAGTTGTAGTTTCTGTTTGATGATAAGGTTTAAGTAAGTCTTCCTTGATTCCATATTTATCCCTTTTTGGAAAATACAATCACCATAAAAAGCGAGTATAAGATGTCAGGATATTTCTAAACTCTTCATTTTGTGAAATAAGGTCTCTACAATCTTAGTCCGCTTATATATTGGAACGACTACACATTTTTAAGAATATGAAATCTATTTTTTGTACAATTATTGCCTTCTGATTTTTTTGTTTAAAAAGAATACACGCCTATTTTCTGTTACTTTTAAAGCATAAACTAACCTTTTCGTATGTTTACAAAAAGGTAGGGATGAACAATGCATGCTACTACATATAACTATTTTACATTCTGGATAATTTGTAACTGAGTTTTATTATAATCTTTACTAAATGATTAAACTCATTTTCCATTATTCTGTTATAATAATGATTTTGGTAATATATTGAATCAAATGAAATTACATTTTCATCTCCCCTCCCTCACTGGTCTATTTTTATCAGAACGAGCAAATTTTGTTAAAAGTTTAAAATGATTGCTTGTCACTGCGAACAATTAAAATGTACAGTTTCTTGTTTACTCCTGAATAGGAGGAAAACTTGCGTTAATAAATGTTGCCAGTATAACGTGGTACAGTAGACTCTTCGACATGTAGATATTGATTAGTACTGAATATCAGCTTTTCTATCATGTAGCTATCAACAGTTTGATTTGATACATCTTTTTATACTTCAACAAATAGTGATCTAAAAGTGTCTAGTCTTTGCTTTACTTTGTTGACTTACTCCGAGCATTTTTGCACTGTAGCTAATGTCAGTTCGTAATGGAAACACTAACCGTAAACTCCTAAACTTAACCCTGAATACCTGACTCTATGAACAACATGGAAAACCTTAAAAATGTATTTGGGTCCTTATACGAGATGTAGATGACGGATTTATATATATATATATATATATATATATATATATATATATTTCACAGGTTGAAATCATGAGTCAGTTGAAGCTAGACCACCATTGTAAACCTGGAAGCACTGGACGGCCGTTTCGTCCTGGTGTGGGACTTCTCAACAGTGCTCATCCACGATCCCGCACCACGCGGGTCTCGAACCCAGGACCTACTGGCTTCGCGCGCGAGCACTTAACCATTAGACCACTGAGCCGGCATCCAACGGTGTTAATGTCTAACTTCAACCAATCCAAGAATTTGCGCCACCATACACCCTTGTCTTCAGTGAGTTGTTATCTCACAACAGACCGGTTGAACTCCACCGGTAACGGCTTCTCACTAGAACTCCAGGAGTTTTTCCTGAAGTCAGTCACTAGTGAGCAGTTGATTATTATCAGAATGGGTTTTGTGGAGAGTTTTAGAAATTTCACAGGCCGGCTCAGTGGTCTAATGGTTAAGTGCTCGCGCGCGAAGCCAGTAAGTCCTGGGTTCGAGCCCCGCGTGGTGCAGGATCGTGGATGCGCACTGCTGAGGAGTCCCACACCAGGACGAAACGGCCGTCCAGTGCTTCCAGGTTTTCAATGGTGGTCTAGCTTCAACTGACTCATGATTTCAACCTGTGAAATTTCTAAAACTCTCCACAAAACCCATTCTGATATATATATATATATATATATATATATATATATATATATATAATGTTAACATTTGTAGTTTTAAGTCATATTTCCTCACCGCGAACGTCGTCACCTATCGCAGTTATTATGTAGTTATCTGTTGTTTGTAAATATTTGTCATTAATTTTTCTTCATAAAAGCATGCTAATCAATCTTTTTAGTTTTTTTTCACAATATGATTTATAATTGTCACATTCATGCATCTTTTTACTGTTCATTGAAATTTTACTACATTTCCTTGCATAATATAACCAATGGTTTGTTTTTTGCATTTCAATGTCCATAATTGTTTCTCTTTCTTCTTCCACTGCCTTCTTTATAGTCCGGTTTCAATTGTTGCTAATTTAATATCCATAGCAGTTGTGTCAATTAATCTATTCTTGGGTAGTGTTGTAATTAAAGCACGTCTACCGCATCATTGGGCAGTATATTTAGGCATGGGATTATTATTCGCATGTTATTTAGGATTTGTATTTTACTTGGTAAGTTCTATCGTGTATTATTCTGTTTTAAAAATTCAATTCAACATAATGATTGATAAATAATAATAGTTGTATTCTTATGTACTTGGTTTCTGTTTTTCGAAGTTTTTGCGGATAATGCTATTAGGAAACGCGGTTTTAATTTAGATGTAGTTTAGTTCTCTGAGCTGGATTTTTTGGTCGGGGAGCTTTCATTGTTCTTTTGAACAACATCATCAGCACAAACCTCTGGTAGAAGTCACTGATGATTTTGTCCTAAACGATGGTATATGATTCACAATTGAGCTATCTAACCCGTACAAGAACATTATGATTGGATAATGTAAACTACAGAATAACTGATAATGACAGGAAAAGAGGTTTCTAATTTTCTCTAGAACTAGATACTTTGACTAGCACATTCAGAATTGGACTATTTGCTTAAACTTTGACTTGAAATATAAAGGTTGGCATTCTTTTAAAACGTTCCTATTGTTAAAATTATTAATTGATTAACTATTACATTGTGTATTATCTAATAAATTCTAAGTGATGTTTATATCTATTTTTAGTTTTAATACATATTTGCTTTTGTTTTAGATTCTACAATATTTATTCTCAAGTGTAAATTATTTATTTTTGTTAATATATTTAGATTTGGTTCGGATTTATTCATGTATGGCGTTCAAGAAGGGTATGTTGATCATGTATGCATTTGGATGGTATAATGTCTGTTTTTTCAAGGATTATGTCTTTTTCGCTTGAATATCATTTGATGAACGTATTTAGATTTCGGTTATTCTATGGCTTTTCATTTCTCTGTCTTTGTTTGGATAGGAAGAAATAATATTCCCTCTTTCAGTTTGTTTTCAATGTTAATGCGTTCATTGTTGTGGTATATATTGTTGGCACAAATTCTTCAACGAAAACTGTTATGTGAAGCTTTTTCTCCTTGATTTTGTTAGTAGTCTGTTCTGCCAGTCTTAGTTGTGACTGGGTATTCTTAATAGAATAATTTTTATGCAGTATAATCGTTGCATCTTAAGTGACAGTTATACGTTTGCCTAACTTTGAATAACTGATAGTGTGAGATTATTTTATATGAGTTTATATATTTCCCGATTGTTGACATTGAGGAGTGCATCCGATCACTCTCCGTTGGAGTTTGTGCACCCTGGACTCTAACTAGAAGTACGCTCTTCTAAAATTATCTTACAATTTCCGAATTATTCCATTCTGAAACCTTGGAATGTGTTTGCTTGTTGTTACTGACACTTTTTCTATCTTTATGTGTTCTGACACTTTTTAAATAACATAGAAAAATGCCTTTGCTCTTTAAACTGTGTACTGATATTGCCGAGAATGAGATTGAAAACTTCATATTTAAAAGTAGCTAGTTCAGAGAACAAAGATCAGTATGTAGTTATTTTTCATCACGGATTGACATCAGATGGAGAACCATTGGAAATCAAGAAGTACTATACACTTACTCCATCCTATGATACGAATCTTCAGCATTGTTCATTCACAATTCTTCTAAGAATCAAGTGAAAGTGAAACGCTACTTAGTCGCTAAGATGGAATTATATGATCATTTAATGAGATAGATATATATAGCACAACAAATCACTATACCGATAGTCGATAGCTATTTTAATCTAGACTACACTGACTACCTCAGCTTCAAATCGTCTCTACTATAAACAACGGACTGTTTGGTTCTCTTTCGTTTTCCCCCAAATAACTTTTGTTTTATGTTTATTTGTTTGTTTCATACTCTTGTTTTTTTGCCTTATCAGACTCCTACAACATTCGTTACATTGAATATGGATAGATCTCTTTCAGTGATTGACGTTGGTGCCACGACTGTTCCTATCAATGGTGAGGGCGGTAATCGATCGACCAATGAGAAAACTCTCCATAATACAATGGTTCTTTCTTAGAAATTATACGATACAAAAGGATTTGAAAGAAATAATTTAGCCAAATAACAGTACTTAGCAGGAAGAGAACCTTTTGCCAATTAAACCTTGTCTTTCTAATTCATCCATACTATTATTATTATTACTACTTCCATAGTATTTGTATTTAACATAATGATATTTTTTCCAGATTGTTGTTATGCTACTATCAGAGTATATTTGGCCTTAAATTACATTTTATTTATTAATTTATGGAATAGTAAGCAATTGGGAAGTAATATGATTTTCGTTTTGTCAATTGATCTATTTACACACTGTTTTTAATCTTTTTGCTATGAGTCACATTTATTTCGAATTGTTTGATATGCTGAAAGTTTTTACAATATATATATTGAGATATGTGGTGCTTAATTTTTTGTTCCCTGCTAATTTTGTTATGATTGTAGTTGCTTATAGAGGTCTTGAATAACTGTCGAAAGTTGAAGGAATGCTATTGTTACCAAGATTTTCTGTTTATCGGGACTCATCGACATGATGTATGTACATCCAGTTTCCAAGTGACTGATCCATGCTACCCTGGATATTATGATCCGTTTCGTTCGTTAAGACTAAATTATTTGATGTGTGATTAATTCATTACAGAACTAAAGTAAATGAAATATGGTCGGATTTATAGGATGCAAAAGGTGGTCTACTCTTCGTAAATTTAAAAGTGTTGGGTCATTTAGTTTATTGATTTTAATCCCCATCATATTAAAGCACTAATATATGAACGAAGAATATTGTTTTCAATAGATCCTCTGCAGGTTCTACAATTATATATGTCTAAATTAGTAATCCAAAAAGGTGACCAGATTTAAGGTGAAGTATGTGGTTTAAAGTTATAGCATGTGAATGTCGGATAGTAGAATAACATAAAGTTGTTAATGTTGAGGTGACCAATATTGAATTTTAAATGAAATTGTGAGATTAATGATGAGAATAAATGTGGGTGAGAAAAATATTGATGCAATTACGAATCGGACCAAATGTTTAGTGTATATTGTGTATAAAGTTGTATGAATTTGATGAAGACTAATAAAGTGGGGTGAATGGTGAGTATATGAATCATTTGTTTGTGAGAGTAGTAGAGATGTTGAACCAATGATAAAGAGAACGTTTGTGACCCAGTGTAAATATCGTGGTGATCGTCACAGGATACATATGTGCCAAAAGAGACTGATAAATTACAGTCCTAAACATCAATGGGAAGATTCAAACAACCAATGCATAGAAATCGATATTAAAATAATAATTATTATTATTATACAAAGATATGTGAATAGAAATAATCACGACAATTATATTCGACTAAGAAATGTATGTACGTTAGTGAGATTAGGTCATGTTGTAGTTAAGATTACTAGTGATTGATTGGATTTGACGTTGTCCATGGTTGGGGAAGCGGTTGAACATTTTATGAATTAGTAGTTTATAAGCGTTAATTAGTTTGCAGACATCTGTTAGGATATTTCAAGTTGTCATTATGGGGGTTGAATGAGTTCTCTGTGATGAACTATATACAGAACCCGTCTCACTAGATTACTGATTATATGGACTGAAAATGTTTACAAATTAATGTTTTAAATAGAGTATATGAGTCATATTATTGGTGATAAGCATTATATTTGAAAGAATAACAGGCAAATAAATGTGTATCTAAAGTAAGCTGATGCTTTAAGATTACTTTTATGGTTTATATATGTTAAAAGAACTAAGTTGTTGTTCCATAATAACATTTTTAGAAACATCTTCAATCCTCTGAAGTAGTCAGTGATGAAACTCCGTATCTTTGTTACTCTATTATTTTTTTTGTCCTTCAGACAGATGTTTGGTGTAAGGGATTTTGTAGGTTTATTTAATCCAACTTCCACCCAAATTTGAAATCAGCATAATTACAAACACTAACCGCTTTTAATATTGAATGAAATTGATATGCTATCGTTAATACTACGTAGCATCGTTTTCATGTGATACCAGTTACACCTTTTGGATTAAATTTATTTTTCTGGTTTATTTTAATTAAACACATAAACATTGGTACAGGAGAGCACCAAATAGATATGCGTCTTTATAGACCAATTCTTGCTAGTTAAGGTGGCCTTTGTTTATCATTGAATAGAGTTTATAAAAAATTCCAACACTAGTTTTATGACTAAAGAAAGCATAAATGAGAGTAGTAAATGCATTTTAATTCCTCACTTGGTAGACATAACACGGTATCTAATTTATATTGTTTGGATATCGTTGAATCCTAGTTTATAACTCATAAATAGCTTTAGAATTTATACTTAAAGCGAAATGGGTCAATGATATTTGTGAAAGTTTTTGTGTGCGTAAGCCCCTTCTATATGCAGATGATCCTAAAGTAGTATATTCATTTTCTCCACATGAGCTGAAAAATATGCAAAATTGCATCAGCATGGAGCTCAACAAGGTAGCACAGTGGTACTTAAAATGGCAACTGGAGCTTAATACGGCTAAATGTGGATGGATATGCCTTGGCAATAGATCGCTCAACTTAGATCTTCCCATAAATGGTGAACTGTTGTCTAGGTTACATACAGTAGTAGACTTAGGACTTAGGTACTCCTACGACTTGTCGTTTACAGAACAAATATTGAAACAGACCTCTAAGTCTCAACGTCTTGTAGGTTACATAACTCGAAACCTTTATAACGATGAGTCACGTATTCTAATGTACAAGGTTTGTGTTCGACCTCTCCTAGAATATTGCACGTTTATTCTCAGCATAAAAGGAGAGATGATTTACACTTCGTATTCTTGAAGCTGACGGTACCTTAACTTATAATTCTAGATGTAATAAACTTGGGCCCGACCATTTATGGAAGAGTAACCTCGAACTAAATCTTATCTCTTTCTTCAAACTACTTAATAAACTGTCCTTTACATCCAATCAAGTGATTCAATATGCAGAAACTTCGCATGTCGCATGACACACGCGTTTAGGTAGACCTGACTGATATATTTTGGTAATTACTGCTTTGTTGTTCCGTGCTCTATTTTCGTTTTACTTTCTCTAGTTGTAGATAATTATCATTAATTCAATCTGGCAAAGGAAATGACCTTAATTACTCCGTTCATAAATAAACAGGCTGTCCATTTAAGAAATCTTAAAAATTCCCGGTTGATGCATTGGATCGTTGTAATACATGCACTACCTAAACAATTACTGAACTAGTATACTTAAAACTTTCTTCTATCACATGTTTGTTCTGTACATCTAATGTTACTATTTATATCAATTTGATCATGACTGTAAACTGGCGTGAATTCTTTAATTATTACTTTCAGAATATAAATTATTATTATTGTATGAAAAATATGGGTCTACCTACCCACTGTTGACAGTTGAAGCCGTCAACATCCATCATAGTAAACCACCTGGATATCCAGTCACGTGTGCCGAGTCAAGGATGCGAAGTGCTGAGGAGTCTCGTACTAGGATGAAAGAGCCGTCCATTGCTTTCAATTTTACAATCGTGGTCCAACACTGATCAGTTCATGATGTCAATAAAATATTTATCGAATTTCTTTGATAAGAGTCGTATTGAAGTTGAACACATTGAAAGATGGGAATGTTGACAAATAATATGCAAATATATACATTGAAAGTGTGAATTAGACACAAGATTGTCATAACTTTTGATCTGAATAATTACTTATTTTCATCAGTTTCTCAAGAAAGTTTTCATCTGATTTTTTGGTTATTGGAATAAGGAAAAGTTCACCTTAAATCAGATTAATGACAGAATAATTTAAATCGTTACTCTTAAACTGTTATTATGGTTACTTTCGGAATTGTAAATTTTTAGTGATGTAAATGAATAAATATTGGATCACGTACTGATGGTTTCAACATAATATCTATCAACCATTGACTATTTGTTATCTCAATGTCGACCAATTCAATTTTATGCTAGCCCATACCTTGTGTTACTTTTCTTTCTATTACCATAGTTTTATTATAATTGGGACAATAGCAACCGGTAAAAATTTCTTTCAAATACCATTAACAATTGGTCATGAGCCTATCTATTTTGCTTGTATATTGAGGTTTGGTTTCTTTTTTAAATGATTCACTAAACCAAAATCTCTATTTCCAATGTTTGAATCTGCACATATATGTCTTAATGGAAGTCCAGCAACTTGTTTCTGGCAATTAATGAAATATAGAATATACTACTTAATTCACACAAGTAGAAATAGAGAAAGTAGTTATTTTTTTACAAGGACTTTCGTCCACAGTTTACTGGAAAGATTCACGTTAGTTAGGCACTGGACATGTATAAGCTATTAAAAATGAAATTTTTATAAAAAAATCTCAGAGAGTGGAAATAACTGGTTTTAAGTGAAACCAAAATAGCAACTGAGGCCTTGGCTATTGTTTGGTAAATATCAAAAAGGTAGTTGTATTGATGCTCATAAAACGAAAAATATGTGCACAAAAAAACACCAACCTATCACGAACCTACTGTTCGTTCACTTTCTTTTATATTCTAGAGCGATGCCCTCTCAATTTTCGAAGTTGTCATTCAAATAAGTTGGTGGTGGCATATCCAATCTTGATTTTAAATCACATAACACTTCGCGTACGCTGGAGCCTTTATACATTTAATTTTGTCAAGCCATTCAACTAACTTGTTTAACAGACAGTGTCATTACGCCAGTAACATTTTATTTATATTATACTTCTATAATCATGTCGGCTTGATCATGTGTTACAGCCTAAACATATTCGTCTTATTAGTTTAAATGCTAGTCTCTCAAATCTCACTACAACTCATTGTTTCATATAATTATGTTTCTTAAATCCTACTTATTCGTTTGCATTCTCACTTTTGTTAGTATTTGCTTCTTATGTTTGGTCTTGTGACTTGCACTGTGTAGTAATGACCTGCAGTCAACGCTTTGTATTGTCTTCTGAAATATCTTTCTGGAGATTAACTTTGTTCAGATAAATTCAAACCCAGTTTAACACTGTTCCTACTCTATTGCTACAAGACATTCATAAGAACTTGTTAAAACTGATAGTGAAAACGAAAATCGGATCAACCTACTTTACGATTGAGAACGTTCAATCTCAATGTAAACTTAAAGTTCAATAAATAGTGTCTACAAAATAACATTTAACAGTATAATGTGTTTCGCATACATCTACACATGACAATCAGAAACAACGCTCTGAAGTATGAATCCAAACCTTCTATTTAATACTTTATTTTATTATCATCAGCTTTATTCAATATTATATTTTTGATACAATATAGAATTCTCAGAGCAAAGTATTCCACCAAGTTCCCGTTTCTTTCTTCTTGGTCGGTCCTGGCGATAAATATTGAG